TTCAAATATACAAGCTATTGATTTACTTTGGTGCGGATAAATGTTTACTACCGTTTCCTTCATGTTGAACAAACTCGAAGAAGCACTCGCTCAAGAATTATTTAATATTCGAGTTTTTTATTTATTTTTAATTATTTCAATTACTTAATACTTGCGATTATTTTAATATATATTTTAATAGAATTTTTTAAACGCTTAAACTACGGGTAGCTTAGAATTGTCGCGATTAAACGACGAAGATTTGAGATCTGATATTCACCTGAATGTTTTTACACAATATGGTAAAGTTTAGAATCTTCAGATGTACAAGCTATTGACTTACCTTGCAGATGAGTGTTTACTGCTGTTTTCTTTATGTTGAAAAAATTCGAAAAGATACTCGTTCAAAAATTATTTAATATTCGAGCTTTTTATTTATTTTTAATTATTTCAATTTTTTAATACTCGCGATATTATTTTAATATATATTTTAATAGAATTTTTTAAATGCTTAGACTGCGGGCAGTTAAGAATATTCGCGATTGAATGACGAAGATTTGAGATCCGATATTCAGCCGAATATTTCCGTACAAAATGGCAAAGTCTAAAGACACACAACGCGATTAAAACCATTACTCCGCGGAGAAAATGTCGGAAAAATCGGGAAAATTAACCGTTCGGTTGCAATTGCGAAGTATGTATATTTGAAAACGAGATTTATTATACATATAGATAAGCAGATGTTATAAGTTATTTAAGAAGAATTTTAATAATGTAGGGAAATGAGTAAAAGAACAACTCGTGATCTCATCGCTCTCTATATTTCTTTCTCTTGTTCTTTTTTTCTTCTTTTCTTTTTCTTTTCCTCGTTTTTTTATCTTTTTTTTTTATGAAAAAACATTTCTTTTTGATGAGATTTGTAGCTCTTAAAAGAACTGATATGAGGCTGAAAGACAGAAATAACAGTTATGTATCCAATAATGCTGTTTATCAATAGCGATTTAACATTAGGTTCGGTGTAATAACAAAGGCTCAACAAAAGTAAAAAAGGAAACATTGGCTAATGTGAATAAACTCGGACTCGCGGCCAAAGAAGCATTATTGGACGTGAAAATAAATATTTGTGAGATTTATTATTTATATTATATTTTAAGACCGGCATTCATAAGAGAATTATGAATTATTTAATATCTTTGATTAAGAACATAATTAATGACAAATTTATATATTCATGGATCGCTACTTGACTATTTGAATCAATGTTTCTTGTATGAAATAATGTAATATAGTTACAAATTAATTATTAATCAAATTAATAAAGCTATAATCACATATTTCGAGTAATGACAAACTATAAATGCCGGTCTAAATATTTCGACTCAGGTATTTCTTTGCTTCCGATAAATTCGTCAAACATCCGTCAAAAACTTCCTATATAATAAATGATTTAGCATACCTTGAAAATACATGATGTATCACTGTTCGCGCTTCGCCGTCCGCTCTTGCATCCTTCGTCCTGGTTTCTCGATCCTGCCTTCGATTGTACTTTATCTCTGGTCCGTCGTGGCACTTACACTGATACTCGCGTAGACACGATTCACTCCAAGATACACGTGTTAAATACCGACGAGAGATTAATTATCTCAAAAGACGAAATAGTAATTTAATCACCCGAGAGGAGCGATAAATAACACGCCGACACACGTAGTGTGGATTTTTGCGATTGCGAGAATCAACGAAATATTGTACCGACGCGAGAATACACATACGTGCTCCATGCTACGCGTCTCGAAACACAATGGAGACATCGGGAAAGTCCGTGAGACAGGAGTGAATTTAACCGCTTTGAAGGTCTCCAATGTTTTGGTTGTCTCGAGGCTCCATTGATAAGCGATGACGGTTGACGACGGGAAGGGATGTGTGTTTACACTTCTTGGCCGTTGTCTAGTAGTACTCTCGCGCGTCGCACACTTTTTTCTATAATCGAGCGTTACACTACATTTTAAGCAAAATATTGCAAGCGCCTGAGAAGAATGCTGATAAACAAAAAGCGTTCTAAAGAATTTATGATTTCGAAATAGGTTTCTAAAATTGATTTCTTAAATTGGTTTCTAAAGAATGTTCACCAATGTGATAAAAATAGACCAAACAAAAATTTCTATTTGTCTTATAGAGTTACGTTAATGTGTCTGGTAGTACAAGAAGCATAAAAAAATACTAACACTCTCAAAACTTATGGCAGATTCTAAATTTGGATTCTTGGATAAATACAAGTGGAATATCGAGATAGTCAGATATTAAATAATTTTATAGCCTATATCTTGAATTTCTTGATCGATATTTCAAATTGAAATGAATTTGCGGGATTATTGTAGAAATGGAATTTCGGGATAAAGGAAATATATATTTAATTTTTGGAGTCTGCTACACGATAGATGATCGATTCAACGGTGTCTCATTTCACACGCGCCAAGTTGAAACACAAGTTGCGAATATGAAACGACTTGACTTTACGCTTCCGTACATCGAATGGCCGCTTGTCGCTTCCTCAGCTGCGGATTCGTCTCGTCGCGAAGAGAGAGAGAGAGAGAGAGAGAGAGAGAGAGAGAGAGAGAGAGAGAGAGAACCTTCCCTCGGATCCGTAATCAAAACTGCATTAAAATCCTGAAAGCTCTGACGGGGGTGCGACGAAAAGTGTTTTGTCACCTAGGGTGACTCGGCAGTCACCTCGATAACAATATGCTCACCTCGTTCCGGATCCCTCTCGTTGCCATGAGAAACCCGTTGATCCACGATCGACTAGGTAACGATTATTTTACCAACCCTCAGCCCTTTCTCCCCCCTACCATATCCTCGGAAACTTTAATATCTTTAAAGGTGAAATATATGTATTCACACATTTTTAACATATAAATTTTCTCTGCGATAATTTTCTCTCTGAAATGCTCATTAAATTAAAGAAAAGGTACGATCCGAATTTTAGGTCTCACCACGCGACGTTTTAGTCGACGTGCGTACGTAAAAAAAGGGCGAGACGCGTTAGGTCAACCGTAAAATTCCGTCGCGTCTCCGCAACGTGATGGGCTTAAGTTTTCCCGGTGGTGAAGGTATTTTCGTTGATTTTCGCCAGGGGGAGAGGGGGTGGCCGAACTCTCCTCGGCAGTGAGTTTGGGCAGTCGCCCACCACGTTTTCGTCTCTTCGTGCCCATACCCTTCTCTCGTCCCGTTTCTCTCTCTCTCTCTCTTTCTTTCTCGTTCTCGCTTCGGTTTGGCGGGGTGGCACGCCATTGTTCGGGCGATATTTCAGCGGCGGCGGTGGCTGCTAGAGTGGAAGGGCGGGGGTAGTTGGCGGTAGTCAGCTGGCTGTGACACGCTGCCTACCTCGCCAAAGAGGAACCAGAGGCGCTTAGGAGTATCCGGAAGGGGGGAGGGGCTGGAGAGGAGCCCTCGGCTTCATACGCGCGGCGATACTCTTTCATCTAACGATAGCCGAGGCCTTGACTTTGAAGTGACACCGCGTAACTATCGTTGCATTGTATCCGCACTGCGCGAGTCTTCGTTTCGCATATTATTACTGTAGTCTTATTATGTTGAGATGACTTTGATGTTCCTTTGTACGACTGCTGCTTGAATAAATAAGCGGGTTTATCGTCCCCCCTCTCTCTCTCTGTCTGCATTTCTAGTATATCCCCCATAAGGAGCGCGTTAAAAAGTTGTTTCTCCTCTTCTCGATTTTATTTTATTAGAACGTCGTTTCATACTTCGATGATACGAGTGGTATATATTCGCGCGCTTCGAACCATGTTACAGTGAATATTACATAGAATATAGTATCATCGGATATCGAATTACGATATTGGTATCGACACGTCACACGGCGTATAATCTCCGGAATCATTCGCCGCGCGTTTAGATATCCGATCGGCGGTATTGTCAAAATTCACGGCGATTTCTGCACGCCTTCGTGCGCGCGCGTACAATAATCGCTTCCGAAGTCTTCCATTCGGTCGGTCGGTCGGTCGGACAAAACTCCGTCGACTTACGAGCGACTTGTCCAGTGACTTTGCCGGCGCTTTCTGCGCTGCGAGCTAGCGACCATACCGGGGGTTGCTGCGTACATCGGATGGCGTGTGAAAGAGTAGAGGAGAGAGAGAGAGAGAGAGAGAGAGAGGGACGAGAGTTTAATAATTATTATTCATAAGACTCTCCTGGGAGAGAGTCGACCAGGCGTGAGACTAAGCATGAAAGATGCGCTGCAAAACAAGAGAGGGTGCCATCGCTTCCTCTGTGCTTGCTTACGTCCTCCTTATCCCTCCGTAGCGGGGAGCCGGGATATTCTGCACGATGGGAAGGGGGTGTGCTCGAGTCAGTCGAGCGGAAACCCAATCACTTCCGGCGTCTGCGCCCATTAGGGCGCCGCGACGCTGACGTCGGCTGACGTACGCCCTTCCTCTTCGCGTCTCAGTCGCTCGCTAGGTTTCTCTCTCAGTCCACTATGCCTCCCTTGCCTGCCTATCTCACACTGTATTGAACCCACTACCCTCTTGGACCTCGACCAACATCGAAACAGACCGCAGATCTATTGTTTGGAAAGCGCTCGCATGGAAGCTTCTTCAACGCAGCTAATGACGTATCGAGGATGCCGTTTCCTCTTTACTGGATTTTTCCGCTTTCACTCGTTCGTTCGTCCGTCTCTCTCTCTCTCTCTCTCTCTCTCTCTCTCTCTCTCTCTCTCTCTCTCTGTCTCTCTCTCTTCTTTCTCTCCAATCGCGATTGCCGTTTACTTCTTCGCAATTGTTACGAAGATAGCGGATTACGTCAGGACGAACTCTCTTATCAGAGCTTACGTGAAAAGCGAGGAGGTAAAAGAGATATTTGTGAAACGACATTCGCAATCGCGCGAGAGAGTGAAGAATTGAGTGTCATTGTAAAATGTCTGGTTAGTTACGACAGAATATATTATAAGAAAAATAACACCTGCAAGTCTACTGATTTATTAATGTGTGCCGTTTGTGTTTCAGGTTTATCAATGCAAGGCGTAGAATTGTCCAGCCGATGATCGATCAAAGTAATCGAGCTGGTAAGCTGTATCCAGTAGTGCCAACAGACTCATACACATACACATACGATACCACACACTTTATACCGGTTATATCTCAAGAGAATGTTCCTATACAGTATACTTATCCGTGTTACGAACAGTATACTTATCCAACTTACGAAGATTTTTTTTAATTATAAGCAAAGTAGATGCTTAAATTTAAAATAAAATGAAATTTTCGTTATCTTATTCTTTAAAGTACAATCAGTGTGTTCTTCACTGAAATTCTGCACTTATAGCTAATGGTTACAAATGTAGTACTGTAACGAGTAAAATCTCGTTAAAAAAATCTTTTATTAATAGTAGCGACTGCTGCTAGTCTTGATGCAGTTTGCAAACACAGTGTAATTACAAATCGTATGCAAGTCGTTAATTTCATTGCCATAAACGTAGAAAGTTGGTTTTGGCAATAAATTTACTGTTCTATAGATTTTGTAATAAATTTTTAATTCCACTGGTCAAAATCAATTAAATATAAGGAATAGTAAATCAGGAATGTTAACATTGAAAAAAGTGAATATACAATGATTATCTATAAAATTCTCCTTTTAAAGATTCAATCAGGAACATTCTTACTTGTTCACTTTCAAAGAAGAACACAACATGTAATATACAAATACATAGAATATTTAGATTTAGATGTTTGAACGCTTCGTGTGTACAAGTATAGGACTCGTTAAATTAAATAGAAAAATCCTCTACTACTTTATAAAATATTACGGTAATTATTTAGAATTTTTATTTTAATGAAAAATCTGTGCGCGCGATACGATGGGACGAAATCTGTAGGGCTGTCTGAAGAGATATATTTTGGATTTGTCTCCTAATTTCTTAACAACTATAGACATGCAGCCTAAGATCACACGTGCAATCGTCATTCGATTGTTATTGTTATATGCCAATAACGATAAAAATTTGTTATTGTTAAGTAAAACAAACTCAAGACATGTGCTCTTCAGATTACCCTACAAAGATTCACGTTCCGCCGCATTGGGCGCATTAATTGATCAATTTTTTTTTCAATAGTGATCTCAAAAATTATCGTGTTTACTTACAAAATGACAGAGAGAATTTTTCTATACGATTTAACATGCTCTATCTGCACATGAACGCTGAATTCAGATATCTTAGGTATAGGTACTGATAAAAAATTGTTGGCCTTGTTATCGAAAATTGCGGAAAAATTATAATTTTAATTATAGATAGTTATATACTTAATGTTCCAATATCAAAAATTGTTGCTTCCTTTAATTAGGGTGATAATTTGTGGACAAATTATTCATTTAATCATTTATCTATTTGACGGAATGTTTAAAGTTCATTTAGTGTAATTAAAATTAGGCTAACTTTTATAACACATTAGGTTTCGAACTTGGGAACGTCTAAAGAGCTGAATAGCTTTATAGAGAGAGTCATCTAAAATTTCAACTCTTTCTTTTTGTACACACATAAAGTATAATTATTGTCAAATTACATCTTAACAAATTTTTTTTTTTTTTTTTCCATCCACTTCCAATTTATTCCCGAACATTATTATAATTCATATCATACACTTATATCTTGCAATTACAATAAGAGAGTTAATATACGTCCTTAGATAGATGCTCGCGAGACTTCGTTTCGTGTTTACGTAGACTGCAAAGCTGACGAGAAAACTCGATTAACCGTTGACGTTTTACTGGTAGTGTTTTATCGTAGTTGACAATTTTGAATGTAACGCGCAATAGCCGCATCGTCTTTAATACCTAATGTAACCAAAGATACCCGGGTTTCGTGCTCGGATATTCTTGATGTTATTCATCAATGAACGTAACATTTCAATCGAATGGAACCTGTGGCGTCGTGTATATTTGCACATCCGCAATATCCGTCGTTTCAAATCAAATCACATCGGTGATTCGATTATCGGTCGTTCCACGCTCACGATGGAAATTTGAATTTCGGTTCTCTCTTGCGTGTCTGATTAGTATCATGTCCGACGATCGTTTCGCTTCTCGCAATTTAGAAAGTATTATTACGAAGTCAGACTTCGCGTGGACGGACGACGCAAACAAACTTCCACGACTGCCAATCATCCAGCGAATTTTAGAACTCTGGTAGAGAATGAACGCGTTTCAAGTGAATAAAAGATTTACAGTATACGACAGTCTTCTGCGGCGCAGCCATCGAAAATTCAATCTCTAAAAGAAAAATATTTCATTCGACCCGAAACACAAAATGTCTGGATTAAGATGTTCGAACGTTTGTATGCAGATAGAACTTGTCAAACTAGATAGAAAAATCCTCTGCCATTTTATAAACTCTACTACGATAATTGTTGAGATATTAATCAAAGATATCACTCTGTATATTTATCTCTGTATATTTAAATCAAAATCAAGCCTCTATCATTTTGCTTTTCTTTTAAATTGTGTTTTATACTTAAAAACATAAAATTAACACTTCGCATTATCGAAATCAAAGTTTCCCATAAGTTCCTAATATAGATTAATGCCAACTTTATCGTGAATGCAGAAACCGATGTCTTTCGTACTCACATGATTACGCTATTTGATCTCTATTGCAGAGAGAAATGATTTTACATGCATCAGAAGCGCGGTAATTTCCTTTTTGCAATGGTTTTTGTTCCAAGTCGCTACGGTGTCTACAAATGGAGTTATTGACGCCGATATTGATCCGCGTTCTCGATCAGTCGACTCTATTGCGGTAGGTCAATGCACCTGTTTGTTTGTCTGGGAACGCGGATGGTAGCCGCGTTCCCAGACGCCTTTCTAAGAAACGCGTACGCGACGACGAGCGCCGCTCGCTATCCCCACTCCTAGACAAAGCTACTCTGGCCACGTGCTCGTTGCGGCTACGCGGTCGTTCACCCGACTTTAAAAGAAAGAAAAGGAAAGAATCTACAAGGTGCTCTTTGCGTTCTATTTCTTGTCTTCTGTCTTTTTCTGGCTTAAAGCTTAAGATTTGAGTCAGAGATTGAGTTAAGAGATAAAAAAAGAAACAGGAAGCAAAGAACACATTGTAGATCAAGCTTAACTTCTACATAAGTTGACGTAGTGTCATGAAACAAAAAGCAACTCCTTTGACACGCGTTTACTGTTCTTTTATTGACTATTCGAAGGAGACGACTATCGTGAACGATTAAAATATGGCAAACATGCTTATGCGAAAAACAACATCTTTCATTCGTGATCGAATTGTTCAAGTTCTTTTCATCTCGTCTGTTGTAATGCTGACGAAATTAGATATTGTTAATGTAGATCGAAGTAAAGGAATAATTATTGTAGTTACTTGCAAAATGGTAGAGTACACGGAGAAAATATTGTAAAAATTGCAACATTTTTTAAATTCTGGATCATACAGAATTATGATCAAAATTACTCTGTATTTGTTTAAAAATGTTATGCACGCTTGACTTTTTACTACAAAATTATTGTAATTACTTGAATGTTTTTTTTATATCCTATATCAAGTAGGTAAAGATCGTCAAGAGTTATTTTTATAATAATTTACATGATAATTTCAATATGTTCTCATTTTACAAAAATCATTGTATGTATAAAAGGAAATATATTTTTAACAAATAATTTTTACAATATTTCCTTCGCGTATATTTTTGTTCAATTTCATAAGTTCTATCTGCATGCAAGTGCTCCTGAATCTAGATATCCTGCATATGCGAGGCACACAACACGCATCTCCCCTGTACACGCGGAAATGAAGATTCTCGTTTGGTTTAGCATGGATAGATCGATACGGCCGAATCGAATGTGCGACATTATTAGGAAACCGGATATTCCTCCGACGAGTAATCTGTAAAGACGACGCGTTTACGAGGAGAGAATCACTTCGTTTGCAGTAAAAGGCGACAACAACGCGCCTTCGTGTTTAGGGTGGGACTGTTTTCTCCTTGTCTCTCTCTCTTTCTCTCGCTCGCGTGGCCGGGTAGGGTTCAAGGGCTCGGTAGTGATTCGGATGATGGCGAGAGGGTTCTTCCGTGGAGCACAGGGTGGGCAGAGGTGGATAACGTCCCGGATAACGTTCGGATAACACTCGGATAACGGCGGGATAATTGGTAGCGGTGATCAGAGCGAGTTTTACGATCGGGGAACATGCTCCGCCGTCGCAGTGGAAACTCCTCTCACCCTCCGATCGTGCCCTCTCTCGGGCCGTCTTTTTCTTACGTTCTTATCCGTGGTCGACCGCGTCTTTGTCCTGGCTAGCGTCGCGGAAAAGACCACTAGAGGAAAAGTTCGACCGAGGGGTGGGCAGACTAAACGGTCGAAACGCAGAAAGAGAGAGAGAGAGAGAGAGAGAGAGAGAGAGAGAGAGAAAGAGTGGTCGATTCGCCTCGTATTTTTACGACTGGCCCCCTCATAAACACTCACTGAGTTACGGGTTGTTTGCTCTGCCGAAACTGGGCTTTAGGGGCGCTTTATCCGCCATTCACCATCCGAACGTATCCACGGAACGCGCTCTCTGGGATAGCAAGGAATCGTACTCTTTTTTTTTTTCCGTGCTTCTTCCCCTCTCTCTCTCTCTCTCCCTTTTTCGCCAACTTCTGCAAATGATAGCCCGCGGTCCGCCCTCGCGGACCTTTTGTGCGCGGATGAAAGACGAATCGTGCACCGAAGTGCACTGAACGCTCGAGTATCTTCGCGAGAATCTTCCGCGCGAGTGCCATAAACGTCCGCGCGCCCCTGAAATGTTATTCAAGCTCGTGGACGAATCGTCGATTTGTAAGGATAACGATGCGAGAGAACCGATGGCCATGACGATGTCGTACCACGAAAAACCTTCTGCCGACGAGACACCAGAGGCATTTCGCGTCGCGACAACATCTTCACCCTCCGCGACGAATTTTAAATCGACGTCCAGCCGCGCATTATCGCGAGCGCGTAACGCTCTTTCTTCGAGTTAGCGATGTCGCATACGTGTCGCCAACGAATTCGAGCGACGGTTAAAGAGATATATTCGCG